TCATTCATGGAGGAAGCTCACTGTTAACACCCACTCTATAGACTTCAGCTTTTGAGATTACCAACATCCTAAGGGCAGCAATAATGGCTTAACACCACTTATTGTGGAGTTGCCTAAATAGTTTATATAAGTATTAATGCAACCTAGTGTTTAAAAATAAGAACCAGTGCCTCTCTCTCTACTCCTTCAGTGGACTACCACTTTTCATGTGAGATTCTAAAGTCTAAGTAGGCTCTTTACGCCCTTTCCTCTCCTTATCTCACTTGTAGAAAATAATGTGTTTGTCTGAATGGAAAATAGAGGCACCATCAGAAGCTGCTATTACCCTCACCAGAGTTAAGGAAACTGAGGCTTAGAGAAATCTTGCTGTCTCTGTGCTTCTGGTGAATAATCAAGACCTGAATGTCGCAAGCAATCAGAAAACATGAGCTGGATGTCCTAGAATTTCATTTGGCTACTTGGGCAGAAATAGAGGAGTTAAGATCATTTTTCTGACTTCCAAACAGAAGGCAAAGATGGCCCCAATTCTTCTGAAGGGTTATTCTCAGAAACAGTAACTTCATTAGAGGATGAGAGTGTCCCTGTTCCTAAGAACTTTTACTGCACCCAGGGCATGAGGAGCAATTGGCAGTGGGCCTTAGATCAGCCTATCTCTCTCTAGGAGCTCTCATCCATAAAACATCAAGCCATCTTCAGGAACAGTTTCCAGAAGGTTCCACATAGCCAGCTACACTCAGGTGGTACCACCCACAGCTCTACCCACAACATTCTTTTGCCAACGGAGTCATCCTCAGCGAGACACCAAGCATTAGGCTTCTATTCTCCTCAGACTGATGGGCAAGGCTCTCTGGTTAGTGTAGTGCTTTAGTTCTTTGATGGAATGCTGTAGCATGCAGGAAGAGAGCAGAGCTAAGAGGGTTTGAAATGACAATGGACGATTGTGAACAAAGGGCTACAAGAAGGATTTGTATTCAGGAGTCAGGACAACAGCAAACCCCATGTACCCCCAAGACACGGGCTTTCCTGAGGCTCCCTGTAATTTGCTAAGCTCCAGAGCTTAGGGACTGTCCATCATTGTCTGCTACCTGACCCTGGGGTGAGAGATCAGAGTTGTAGCATAGTAAGCTAGAGTAATGGAGCCTCAGGAAGGGCAGTAGCTGGAGTGTGGAAGTTAATCCAGTACTCAATAGAGCAAACTGAGAAAACTCTAGCTGGAGCCTCAAAATGGGGCCAACACACTTTTTAAAAAAATAAAAACCCTATTCCAGAGAGTGGTCTTGCTGTAACTGGAATGCCAACACAGCTTATGCCAGCTGTCGCTGAGAATCTAGAGACAGAGGCTGAATCTTTAAATCATGGTTTACCCAGAGAGCAGGTAACCTGAGAAGAAAGGGGATCAAAATCCTCGACAGGGCCTTCCGGTTCATCTTAGTCAGACACAGGAAGTAGACACCAAGGCTGCCATCTCAAAGCTCAGTCTTGCTCCTCCAACCAGGTGCTCAGCCTTGTCTGTAAGACTGTGGTGTGGGTGGTTTTCTCCTTACCATCTCCTCCCTCCAAGTAGGGGGAGTTTCTGAATGCACCAAGGTGACTGAGGCTCGCTTCCTTATGGGTGGCCATTTTGATTGCATCTGTATTAAAGCTTAACGCAGAAAAGGCAAAGTGCCACCAGTGTATGGGCTGGGCTGCTTACACCGTGAATATGAAGATTCCCTTACTATGAAGTGTGGGGGTGCTCCTACAGTTCGGGTCCCCTCTCTGTCCATCCAGACCCAACCCCTGGCTTCCAGTGAGGGGAAAAGTTGGAGTTCATGCTCTATGGGAAAGGATGTTCTCATTGTGTGGTGTGTTAGGCATGTGAACAGAGAAGATGCCACCAGCTATGGGGTCACATGTAGAAAGCTGTTGTCGTGGCTTTGAGCACAAGAGACACCACCATTAGCTCTTTCTGCCAGCACGATGGGGCAGTTTTGACTGACCTCTGTAGGAATCTACTCCATCCTTCGCCACTACATCCTGTTTATTTCCATCATGCCTTTAAGAGGATGTGTGGTTGTTTATCTTGTTATTAGCTGGTTTCTCCTTTACTTATTTGTAACTCGTCTTCTGCATTATAAAAGTTCTAAGCAAGGATTTCACTCTGCAGTAGGCACCCGGTACCTAGTAAAATGGCTCTTTCAGAATCTACCTTCTGTGGATATTTGTTGAATTAAGGGATTGAAATTTTTTCAGAAAGCAAAGAATAAATGGATCAATGTAACTCTCTTCACTCACCAAGCACTTTTCTGGTCCTGGTGGAGATCTTTTGTTTGAAAAGACAGAATCCTCACGGCACTGTCAGCGGTATGGCCCGCTATTTTGCATAAAATTACAGCTGATAGTTCAGTGTGCGCCTTGTTATAGGAGGTAGTTTTGTTGGCGTGGGGTGGTGCTCTGGGGCTGTCCACGTCTGAGTGCTCTAACGGGTAGGTCTCTAGCTGGTTTCTGACAGCACAGCTTGACTCAAGCATCCTCCTCCGTTATCCTTAGGAGAGGTGCCTCCATGCTCCGGATCCATCCCTGATTACAGCCCCTATCAAACCATCAGCAAAGCCTTTGCAATTGATACCAACGTACGATTTCTTAGGTTACGGGATTAAATAAAATCTGCTGGAGCTTAGCCGATTTTTCTACAATGGCTTTCATCCACGGTGCTTAATTAAATCCCTCACCTGGGAAAAAGCGATTTTCTTCAGCCATCTCTTTCGGTGGCATCAGCAGGCAGCCGTGACTGTTGAAATGGTGAAATGTCAGCTATATTTACTGCTGCAGGGCTTCTGTAACAGAGTGGGCAGAAACTGTGGCTTTTCCCTACATTCTTGAGTTCTTAATGATCCATTCCTTTCATGTGAGATTCTAACTCCTGAAGCATTCTCATGAATTGTAGAAAATTAATAAGCTTTGTGAAAGGAAAACACAATTGTTCCAAAAGAGGCAGAGGTCATAGGCCAACAGGCTTCAGAAGAAGAAGAAAAGGGCTGGGGAGATGGTTCAGTGTCTAAGGTGCTTAAGGTGAAGGGTGGGGACCTGAGTTCAAATCCCCTAGGGCCCCTGAAAAACCTAGGCATGGTAAACTATGTCTGCAACCCCAGTGCTCTTAGGGCAAGATGGGAGCAGGAAGTGGGAATACCAGTAGGGACTCCTGAAGGCCAGCTGGCCTTGAAGATGCAGTGCACCAGGAAACAGTGAACGGCCCTGCATCCATTAAGGTGGAAGGGAGGACTACTATCCATGGCTGGCCTCTGATGTCCATACACTCACCGTGTAAAGAAGAGGAGAAGGAAGACAGGGAAGAGGAAGAAAGAAGGAAGAAGAGGAGGAGTTGGGAAAAGAAGAAATACTCTGGAGAAAAAGACCCCAACCAGCATAGAAATTCCCAACCCAGGGCTTCACCAGAACCCCTTGGAGTCCCGTAAAAGCCCTTCACATGGCCCGAGCCTTCCAAAGGCAGAGAGCCAGGACATGAGTCTTCTCTCTTTTGCTCTGAGCTGCCCTTGAATAAATCTGACACATCCCACCGATCTCCGTCTCCAGAGTTTTCTGTGGAGCAACAGGAGTGTGGCACTTAGAGTTCGGCAGCACTCGAGCCCACGTGGGAATCCCAGGGCAGAATAGACATTAACTTAGACTTGGCACTGACAGCAGAAGAGATTGGATCAGAGCAGCAAAATGGGCACAGGGATCAGCTCTGCTCTGTTCCAGCAGCGCCCAGGGATGTAAAAAATGAGAGGTTTTTGTTTTGTTTTGTTTTGTTTTGTTTTGTTTTGTTGTTTTGTTTTGTTTTTTAAGAGTGCTTCTAGTACCATACAAATACAAAGAAAGGCTGCCAGGAGAGACGAGGAACCTTATGAAATTCCTGTCAGAGAGCTGCAAACCCAGGCAGGATGAAAAGATAGATGACCAAAAGCCAAAAAATGGCAGGCCATCGTGCCACAGCCTAGGCTTCCCAGCTAATGCTAGGTGATTGCGGCAAGTTCAAGACAAGCCTGGACAACAATGTGATATTATGTCCCATGTCCTACAGTAATTTTTTTTAAATTGTACTCAGAAAAAAAAGTCCCTAAGTATAGGAGTCAGTTTAAAAACTGGCCAAAATCCCTGATGCTGGGTCTCCAGTCACATGGACAGCTTTAAGCTCCTCCTCCTCCTCTCTCTCTCTCTCTCTCTCTGTGTGTGTGTGTGTGTGTGTGTGTGTGTGTGTGTGTGTTACTCAGCTTGAAATATCTCAGTACCTCTCACAAATGTGGAGCCTACTACTCTGAAGTCCGGAGTGGCCTTAGGAATTACATTGGCCTACAAAGAGATAAACATGAAAATGTAGCCTTTATTCATCCTTAGCTCTCTCTCTCTCTCTCTCTCTCTCATCTATCTCTATCTATCTTTTATCTTTCTTTCTATTTCATATGCATTGGTATTTTGCTGGCATGTATATGTATCTATGTGAGAGTGTCAGATCTCCTGGAATAGGAGTTATGGACAGTTGTGAGCTGCCATGTAGGTGCAGAGAATTGAACCCCAGGTCCTCTGGAAGAGCAGCCAGTCATGCCTATGTGTCTTTTAATCCAATCAAGGTGATGATGAATTAACCATAACAAATAAAGATGATAACAACGAGTATGACTGGTTTTAAATGTAACTATTAAACAACAACATAAAAGCAAAATATCACCCATAGCGACACATAAATGCGTGGGGAAATCTGGTAGAACATACAGAAGAGGGGAGGAAGACTTGGGTTAAAATACACCTTTATACCTTATTGAAGGCTAAATCTGGGCATTTTTGTAATGTGAATATTTGCTTTCTTTTTTCTTAGGAGGTAAGAGCCAGTGAAACTATGCTCGTTTTATTTCTATTTATTTTAGGACCATTTGAGTGAGTGAAAAACTATCTCACATTAAAGTGTATTTTCCCTTCCTCATTTTACTTCCCCACCCAACTCATCCATCCTTCATTTCTAGGCCGGGAGACATGATTACTCTTCTAGAAGACTCCAATGAAGACTGGTGGAAAGTAGGTATTTTGGTCTTTAAAAAGAAATAAGAATCCTTCAGTGGTGACAGTTACAATAAATGTTACATTTGCCACTGAATGCTTCCTCTTCCATTTCAGGGAAAGATTCAGGACAGGGTTGGTTTCTTTCCAGCCAACTTTGTTCAGAGAGTAGAACAGCACGAGAAGATTTATAGGTGTGTTAGAACCTTCGTTGGCTGCAAGGACCAGGGGCAGATAACACTGAAAGAGAATCAGGTAAGTCAAGTCCACAAGGCCCAGCACACAGACACAAGCTGGGACAAGTGAGGGGACCAAGTATGCCATTTGTAAAAAAAGATGATGGTACGCCATGGGATGGGGGTCGTTAGAACCCAACAAGCAAAACCAAGTGCCAGGAAACTTTGGATTTAGTTAGTTTTCATTGTTATCAAAGAATACCACAACTGAAAGGAATTTAGGAAGAAGAGTATATTTTAGCTCAGAGTTTCAAAATGTCGGAGTCTATAGTGGCTGGGAAGGCACCAACATAGCAAGGATAGGCGATGAAAGCCTGACAACAAGAACAGGAAGCTGTCTCCATTCAAACACAGGAAGTAGGGAGAGAAAAAGGAAGGGGAATAAGCTATAAAACCTCAAAGCCCGTCCCTAATGGCATACTTCCTCTAACAAGGCTCCACCTCCTAAAGGTTCCATAAGCTCCCCAAAGACACTAACGAAAGACCTAGTATTCAAATATATGCACCTGTAGGGACATTTCTCATCCAAGCCACTATACTTACTGGGATCTGTCAGAGGACAGATAAGCACATAAAATTCCACAGTGTTGTAAGAGAGCATCTCATCCCTGAACTTGTGCCTGAGGACCACTAGTCACTGATATTAGCAGCTACTCCCATTTTTACTCCCAGCTTGTGCCCACCAAGGCATCATCACCTAACAGGAAAACTGTGACATGATGCTCTGCTGCATTCCAGGGCTCAGTCAGTTGGCTCCAATCACTGAGCCCTCTCATATCTCCTTTCAAGCCCCAAGCCTCCATGTGTCCCCTAAAGGCCATACACATTCATATAACAGCATAAGACAGAAACAAAACACACATTAAAAATTATCTCAGGCAGAGATTCTGGACATCTCTCTGTACCTAATCTACAAGTTCCTGGCACCTTTTTGCTTGGGGCTTTGAATGAAGTGTTCCTTAAGATATTGTCAATTTTTCTGGGTCATCTAGGTCTATAATGTCCTTAAGATACTTCCTTCTAGACTCCTCATCTCTCCCATAGGATGTAGAGAGAAACTAACAGGACAGTCACAGCTCAGCTCTGTCCTATTTCTCTTCGTGTGTCTTCTTCCAGCATCAACATAATGTCCTTCAGTTCCTCTTAATTCTTCTCTTGTCACAAACCTCATCTTCACTGCCAGGCAAAATGACATGCTTGTACCTCCAAGGTTGTTCTGGATATGTTAGAAGAGGATGTGGAGAAACAGAGTTAGAAAGGTCCTTCTTTCCCAATGAAGCCTCACAGCTGATTGCAATTTTCAGTTTGGGGAGTCGGAAGTCTGCCTCTTTCTGCATTCTTGCTATATAGTCATTCTAGAGTTTCTCAAGATAATTGCTCTCTCTAGTTGGAAACACGGACATGACAAGGCTCAATTTATAAGAAAGTAAAGAATGAAGCATGCACTCATAATTCAATACTTGACTGTTCAACACAGTTGCTCCAAAGGTATCCTGGATGCCGTTTATTTAATTTTATTATTTTCTTTGAGTTGTACAGAGGTTGCGTGAGCACAGATGTCTGCATGCTGCATGCTGGTGCTGTGGCATGATGAGGCATTGTATCCCCGGTGATTTGGACTCATAGACAGTTGTGAGCCAATATGTGGATGCTGGGAATCGAACTTGAGTCCTCTGCAAGAGCAGCCAGTGCTGGTATCCACTAAGCCATTGCTCCAGCCATCCACTCCCATTTGGGGGAATTGCCATCAAAGATAGTTACTAAGTCTCATGCATACAAACACACACACACACACACACACACACACACACACACACATGATCAGTCATTACTTCATAATTATAAATGATTTATCATTCTAAAATACTGTTTTACTCAACTTAATCAATTATTTTCTTTTCCATATGTGGCTCCAAATGACTTTTTCAGATTGACAAACGTTACCTCACTTTGGGCCTGTAGTTCACACCATAAAATCCCAGCATTCAGGAAACACAGGCAAGAAAGGTTCAAGCCCAAGGTCCACATATGTAGTGAGTTCAAAGCCAGGCTGAACTACATAGCAACCAAGAACCTTTCTCAAAATGGCATAGGCTTGGGATGTAGCTCAGTGATAGAATAAAAAACTCTGGTCTTGCTTTCTAGTATTTAAAAGAAAGAAGCCCCACACAAAAATAATGATTCCATTTTCTTTGTGCCTAGTCGATAGAATGCCTAAAAGAAAAGTCTAATGAAAACTTACAATGTGAAAAAGGGGGATTTTAAAACAAAATTAATGTCTATTACTTTTAAAGTCAAGCAAATAAAAACATGCCAGCAAATCAGAGCATTGTTTTCCATGTATCTTAACAACAGTGTCAGATGAAGTCAGTGAAATTGGCTTTCCATAAATGCCAGTATGCTTTAGTTCGCACATTTTGAGTAGTCTGTGTATTAAGAGCCACGAAACTTACCCTGCCCTATGCTTGCTATAATTCCACTTCTGCAATGAACTCATGAAAATAATTTACGCACGGAGGAAAAGCTGGGCAAGGAATGACAGGCCTCCAAGTAACCTCATAATGGTGAGAATTGGGAACAATCATACAATGGCCGTTGGTGAGTCAACAGTAAAACTTTCCTCAGAGGAAGAGTTTGGAGAGTGTGGTAATGATGTTGTAGACAGGATTACAGAAATCAGACCCGGGCCCCAGTCTGTGCTGTGCCCAGCTGAACATGGTCTCAAAGAAAAGTCTAAAAGATGAAAGAACAGAGTTGCAGATGGAGGGGGTCCTCAGCCATCTTCAGCCTCGGGACTACAGTGATGGAGATCAGGTGTGACCTGGGTACAGAAAAGATCTCATTATCGCAGCCCACCTCACCCTGCCCTCGCCACTGGCACCATCCCCATGGCTGCCACTATGGGCTACCCTGAAGCTCAGGGCACCAGGTGGCTCACAGCACAAAAAGGGGCCAGGAAGAAACGCAGCAAAACTGGCCTAGAAGATAAGACTGACTCGTTGCCTACCAAGGGAAGATGACTGGAGGAAGTCTGGAGAGTGGTGAGTCTCTGGATCCATCCTTGAAGAAGCAAGACAGATGGAGGAAAGACAGGCAGTGTCATTATCAGTGGGAGTAAAAATGTAACAGAAATAACTGGCAGAGGGCTGGGGAGATGGCCCAGGGGATAAAGTACTTACTGTGTGCATGTGAGGGCAGGAGTTCACGCCCTTAGCACCCTCCCAGAAGCCAAGGGGAGATGGGACCCCCAGGAAATGTAGCTAGCAGGACCGGCCAAGTCACCGTATTGCAGGGTCTCTCTGATTACAGTGGGGAAGATACTCAACAATGGGCATTTACACTGTTTAAATACTCTCATTTTCTTTTCACGTCACCTGTGAATTGAGTGGATTGATCATGCAGCATTTCTAATTTCCGAAAGAAGGAGCAGAGTCCCACAGACGCTCTGTGCCTTGCTCAACAAGCACATGTAAGCTCCAGGCAAGAATCCGAACATGGGCCTCCGCACCCACGTCCACACCTCGACAGGGCTTATTCCTGCTAGCACAGGCTCCCTGTTGAGCACTTCGCTCTCCTCCAAGCTCTGGACACTTTGTCACCATGCTGTAGCCACATCTCTAATGCCGTGCACGCCCCACACAAGCACATACTCCTCCCACCTTGAGCTGGCTCAGTGCAGACACGGGCTTGGATGAGCGAAGGGGTTAAGAACATTACTTGTCAGGTTCAGCTGTGCTGAGGTGGTGCCCACTCCCCTCAGTGCTTGGGGGGTAAAGGTAGGGGGATGTGGAGTTCTAAGCCAGCCTGGGCAGCATGAGATCAAACAACAGCTTTCATTTAAGGATGTTATTGTGAGAGATGGGAGTGATGGGACTCATCTTGAATCCCAGCATTCAGGAGGCAAAGGCAGGCCAGTCTCTATGGGTTCAAAACCAGCCTGGTCTACACCTATGGGTTCAAGACCAGCCTGGTGTACATAATGAGTTTGAGGTCAGTCAAGGTTACATACATAGTGAAACCCCAACTGCAAAACAAACAAACAAACAAAAACAAAACAGAAAAACAAATGTTATTGTTTTTTTTAATTTTTTCAAATTTGAGCTCCTTTTTAATTTCCTACATAATTAATTTATATGAAAACTTTTAAAACCTCTTAAAGAAATGTAATGTAGTACAAAGGTCAATGGTGCCGAAATCATGTAGAAGTGGATCCGTACCATGCGTTGTTTAGATAGTCACCTCTAAATGCCGCCTAAAAATCAGTATAATAGCATCTCCCTGGTGCAGACCTGAGTTCAGTGTGGCCCCCCGTGTGGATGATGCCTGGGTGTTTAACAAAAGTCATCTCCCGCCATCATAGCCCAGAGCAGGTCTCAAGGGGGACTTCACCTGCAGCGGCGAATGCCAATTTAAGGCACTCCATGGGCAGCAGAAAATAGCCAGTGTGATGTTTACGACTCCAAAAATGTAAAAAGACAAGCAGCCAGTAACAGAGGAATAGGAGAAAATTTATTCTGAAAATAAACGCGATGCTTTTTTATTAAATCACATTTCTGTCTCTGGGGTTAATCCTTCATAATTATTATATTGTTCACCCACAGGGCTCTTGTTTCCAGATGGAATTAAGTTATCCATTATGAACACATAGGCGACTGCCTCGACAGGATGAATTTTCTTCATTTTTTTAAACTTAAAAAGAACCCTATTTAATCAGCTTTAAATTTCTTTAAAACATTTTTATAATATCATATGTGATTCTGTCATAGCTGTAGGAATCTTTTCATGGATTCCTTGTATTCTCGCAAAAAAAAAATTAAACCAGAAATTACTTTTAGATAATAAAATTGAAATTTGTTTATCATAGGGAAATTTAGAAAATAAGATTTTTAAAGATAGAAGAAAATAGCAACCACAGCAATTCAACCATCAAGTTCTTAGCATTAGAACTTTGACATATTTCATGCAAAGCCTTCCTCTGAAAGCGTACTTTAATATCATATTTTATTTATTCTAATTCTA